AAATAGAAGGGGAAGACATGGAGGAAGTGACAGATTTTATTTTCCTGGGCTCCATGATCACTGCAGATGGAGACAGCAGCCACAAAATTAAAAGAAGCCTGCTTCTTGGGAGGAAAGTGATGGCAAATCTTGACAGCATCTTAAAAAGCAGAGACATCACATTGCCAACAAAAGTTCGAATAGTCAAAGCTATGGTTTTTCCTGTCATGATGTATGGAAGTGAGAGCTGGACCATAAAGAAAGCAGACTGCCGAAGAATTGATGCCTTTGAATTGTGGTGCTGGAGGAGGCTCTTGAGAATCCCCTGGACTGCAAGGAGAACAAACCTATCAGTTCTAAAGGAAATCAACCCTGAGTGCTCACTGGAAGGACAGATCCTGAAGCTGAGGCTCCAGTACTTTGGCCATCTCATGAGAAGAAAAGACTCCTTGGAAAAAACCTTGATGTTAGGAAAGTGTGACGGCAAGAGGAGAAGGGGACGACCGAGGATGAGATGGCTGGACAGTGTCTGCGAAGTAACCAACATGAATTTGACACAACTCCGGGAGGCAGTGGAAGATAGGAGGGCCTGGCGTGCTCTGGTCCATGGGGTCACGAAGAGTCGGACACGACTAAACGAAACTAATTATTTTACATGTTAGCATACTGAAAACACGACAAAACTTCATTTAAATTATCTGTGGTTGCTTTCACTTTCCTAAGCAGGAAGTGGCTGATTACAAAACACAAACATGAAGTATGGGTGTTTAAGTGCATGTAAAATTTATCATGTATCTTTAAGACAGTAGGGAACTGGTGACTGGTAGCATTTCAAAGGCTTTTAAAAGGTATGCAGCTAATTCTGCCTATCTGCTCCCTTCACAGTGAACAAATGTGAATTTTGTACTCTAATATACAAAAAAGTAAATTGAGACATCATAATGTTAGTCAGTTGGATATCCCATGCTAAATATTGTGTGTATACCGGGGGGTTTACAACTGTCTTTGTCACAATGGGCCTTTCCAAGGTTTTTTTTACAGTACAGTATAACTGAGGACTGCCTCTCAAGATACTATCACAGAAGGAAGCCTCCTTACAATGGCTTCTACATGGCAGCTATTCCATGCAGTGAACAGATTTAGGTTTACAGCCTTGCTGAATAATCAGTCCCCATGGGGTGTTTTGTTGTCACCCGCAATGTATGGCAGCAATGCAGAGAAAAGCAGTGGAAAGCAATCCAGTACATATGGAATGGCTTACTTTATGAAGCAATCATCACCTAGAGGGTGGCAAGCACTTAACAGGAAGCAGTTCTAAGAGAAAGGGGGGAAAATAGATTGACAGAGCCCAAGCAGGTTATAGAAAAAAAAAAAAAGAAGCGCACAGGCTACGGCATGCTTTCTGTGAAAGGAGGAGAAAATGAACAAAAATAAAAATAAAAAAGGAAAATGAGATGCATGAATGCCACCCACAATTATTCAGTTCAGTAGGAAGGGAGATATGTTTTCACCCGTAGGACACTCACTGATAGATGGTGTCCCAGTGTCGTAAAACACACAACTGTGGTCATGATAATTTGAATTGAAGCACTCAATAGCCCTGGCCCCAATGTGCATGTGATCTTTCAGCCCCATGAAGAGGCTGCACCTGGGAGGGTCCTGCACCTACAGGTCCTTCCTTCTACCTCCTGGATCCATCTTCATGCTTCAAAAGACGTTCCCAAAGACCATTGTGAGAAGCAGCAAAATATTAGGAAAAAAAATACAGTCCTTCATTGCCATAACTACATCTTTAAATGCCTGGGGAGAACTAGGCAGGAGAAGCTTTGAATGCAACATAAGCTCTGGAGCTCGTTGCAAGGTTTTTACATACCTTCCAAGCAAACTGGATTGAAAACGTCTCCTTCTCGGGCCGCCTGCGAACTTCTCCCCACCACTGGCCAATTTGGCTGTGGGGAAAACTTCCATGATGGCACATAAGTTCATGGGGGGGAGAAACCATTCCCAACAGGGCTCCCATCACATCCTACAGCATGGGGCCGCCACCACCGCCACGGACAAAAAGCTGCCTCAACGATGAATCTAGGACTGACAGTTCTCTATGTATGTAAGAAAGTTATTCTACTTCCTGCTCTGATGGCTTTGGAAATGAAAGGTCAATGCAATCCCTGGAGTCACCACTTGTACGTATTCATTTTCGTGCATCAAGTGGTGAGCAATGAGGAAGCTAAAAG